CAATCTGTCGAATTAATGGAGAATGAGGTGTACGGAACATGTAGCACGCATGCATAATACAGTTTTTATTAGAAAACCTGAAGGGAAGAGACACGTTGAGGGACCTGGTCATAGAAGGAATGATATTATTCAAACAGGTCTTAAATAAATAGATTTTGTGTGTGGACTTGATTAATTAGACTCAAAATTAAGCTCTTGTGAGCAGAATAATGAACCTTCATGTTGTATAAAATTCTTACAATTTGTTGACTCGCTGAGCGACTATAACCTTTTCAAAATGAGTGTTTTGGTTGTTGTTCGCTGAAGCAGGGATTGCACACGGTAGATTTAATTATTTATATTTTATTTAAAGACACTTTTTTATTAGCTCAGACTAAGTAGCGTCGAATGAGAGTAAGATTAGTGAATAATGTTGAAAGCGATTTAGCCTAATTTAAGGTACTATACCCGAATTTGCGCGGAGGATTGAGAAAAACCACGAAAACTCCCAGTAAGTATAGCCGGTCTACGTACACAACGAAAACTCCCAGTAAGTATAGCCGGTTTACGTACACAAGATTGGAACCCGGGACCTCCCGAATACCTCTCGATCATGACGTCCGGTTCACACGATAGGTTTCAATGTTTTGTTTCTTTATTTAATGTTGTCATATTAACTGTAGTGGTTTTTTGAGACGGATAAAATGAGGGAAAACTTTAACTTTGCGTACTGTCTCCATGTGACGAAGTGGGTGTCACTGAGATACCCTGATCGTCTTCTCAGAGACACTGAATAATCGTACCTCATATTTTTAGGAGTTAAAACTGCAGAAAAACAGGATATACGTTTCGCTTAATTTGTATTACCACCGAAATGTACAAATTTAATTAATGCTCACGTATGAGCAAAGATAAAAATAAAAATTTCAGTCCAGGCATCCATCTGAATAAGATGTGAAACCACGGCTATGTTTATGCTTTGGATTCATAATTCCACATTACTTCAGCAGAGTAGATGAAGAACCACACAATTAAAGTCTACTTCCCCCCCCCCCCCCCCCCA